CAAAGCTCAGCCTTCCAGTATAAAAGATGACCGAATAAAAATTCTAAATGACTTTGACAGTTTGGAATGCTTTGCTGAAAGCAGCCAGGTAGGAATAAAGGTGAAGTCTACACTTCCAGTTAGGTAAATTAGACAGTGCTTGCTGTCTTTTGTTTGTTTGTTTGTTTTTGTTTTTTGAGACAGGGTCTCTCTATAGTCCCAGCTAGCCTGGAACTCACCTGCCTCTGCCTTCCAAGAGCTGGGATTAACAGCATACACCACCATGCCTAACTTAATGCTCACTAGCTTAATGGTGGTTTTTTTGGTTGTCATATTTGTCAGAACCTATCAGAGTGTGCATACTCTTAGAGGTGGACCTAATGCATTTTGCTTTGTGAGATGGCCATGGCCATGGCAGAATGTTGCAGTTTAGAACTTGATTATCCCTCCAAAGGCCCATGTGTTGAAGGCTCGGTCCCTAGCCTGTGGCTCTGTTGGGAGTTGTTAAAAAGTGGAGCTTGATGTAAGGAAGTAAAGTTATCTGGAGGTGTGCCCTTGAAAGGGCCATCAGGACCCTGGCTACTGCTCTTCCTCTCTGCTTCCCAGCTGCCAGGAGGAGAGCAGCGTCCTCTGCCATGCATGCTTGCCACGGCATACTACCTTTCCACAGACCCAAAAGCAAGAGGCTAACTGAGCACGGATGGAACTTCTAAAACTACAAGTCAAAGCCTTCACCTTTTAAATAGATTGGGCCATTTTTTTTTTTAAACACAGAAAGCTAACATATACTTCGTTTTGTTTAGTTTTGTTCAAACTAGGGATTGAATGTAAGCCTTGTCCATGTTAAATATGCTGCAGCTGAGTTACAAGCTCAGTCCACATGCATATATTTTAAATATATGTGGTTTAGTGTATGTCAGTTATATCTCCATAAAGCTAGAAAATTCAGTACCACATGGACAGAGGGAAACTCTGACTTGGCTGCAGTATCTTGAGAAAGCTCAGATTTAGTGACTATATTTGTAATTTGACCTTAAGATAATGGGAGTTTCTCCCAGAAAGGAACCTGTAGAGGCACACAGTCAAAACCCAGGAGATGTAAATAGAGCCCCAGCTGGACACTCTTCTTTGTTCTGATGCACCGCGGGAAGTTCACTTCCAAGATTATGTTTACTCTGACAGCTTCTGACACATATGCCAACATGGCAAAGAATTCTCATCTTTGAATCACCAGGAGACAAGACTTGAAGCCTTTTTGGATTCTAATTTACTTGTGGTCTTCAGCAGCCAAATCCCTGCTAACTTCAAATTCTTGCCAGAGAAAGCAACCCTGACTTGAGAAATTCCTAGCTCCAGGGTTTGGGAATTCCACTAAATGGCCAGGGGCCCATGGAAGCTCTGTGTGTTCTGCTGTGCTTGGATATTTATGAGCAGTGACCTTCTCAAGCAAAGTGCACTTCCATGGCATAGTTTTGATATGCTGGGGATTCCAGGTAATTGTAGGCATGCCAGGATAACCCCACTCTTCCTGTCTTGCTAGGACAACTTAGGGGACACAAGTATAAGAGTAAGGAGGGCATTATCATGAGGATAACCTTGAGTCTGCACTAACTTAAATAAGCACTGACTTTCCACACCTCCAGTTCTTTAGAATTATTGACTGATTACACCTTGCAGCAGATGAAAACAGACCAGTATGTTGAGTCAGCCAACCAGAGACCAGTAAGTGCCTGGACTCTGTGGAGCTGAGGTCCTAGCATAGAGCAGCCTTGCTTGATGCACAGCTACACTTATCTTTCTTTGGCTAATGTAGGCATATCAGCAGAAACTGCTGGAATGGTGGGAGAATTTCAGAAACCATGTTGTATAAAGACCCGTGGAAGGACCTAGGAGTGTTCAACTTGGAGAAGGGACGTGAAGGAGAAGCAGGGCAGTGGTTACCAGAGTCTTAAAATGCTGACCTGGTCAGGCTTGTTCCACTGGGCAGAGATCCAGAGGGCCAAATTAGGGCATGGGAATATGTTTTCCAGGGAGACAACATCAAACTTAACACAAGGAGAACTAATTGTTCTCCATTAGTGAACTAAATATTCTTGGATGTAGTGGATTCTTTTTACTGTGGGAATTAGAAAATTCATAGTCAGGAATGGACACAGGGATTTCTGTATTTGGAGGTTCTGTGGAAGTTTTTTTTCCTCCACACTCTAGAAGTCTTTGATTATTTTATTTTTAACTTAAAAAAGTGTGTGTGTGTGTGTGTACAGATATATAGATACCAGAGCATACATGTGGAGGTTAGAGGAAAACCTCAAATATCAGTCCTCATCTTCCACCTTGTTTGAGATAGGGCCTCTGGTTCACCGCTGCACAGGGCAGGCTGTCTGACCCGCGAGCTTCCCGGACTTCTGTCTCTGCCTTCCATTCTACCACAGGAGTGCTGGGATCACCACATCCAGCACGTGGTATGGACATCTCAACTCAGGTCCTCATTATTGTGACACAAGAGACTTACCTACAGATCCAGCTCCCCGACCCCTAGAATTCTGTGATTTTTATACTTTTGGAGACATACATGTGCATATATGTGTATGTTTTTATATATGTGTGTTTGTGAGCATGTATGTGTTTGTGTGTATATGTGTGTTTGTATGCATATGTGTTGTAATGTACATTGTATTGGTAAATTGTCATGTGTTGTTTAAGCTTGTTGAAAGTAGATTCTTCTAGTGTGGAAGGCCCTCCTGTCTCAGACCTCAGCATGTTTATTTCAAGTGTTCTCCAACACCTTTTCCTGGGATAGGTTAGCCCTCTGTGCTGGATAGCTTTGGTGTCAACTTGACACACCTGGGTTGAGGGAGACTCAATTGGGGAATTTCCTCCATTGGACTGGCCTGTGGCCATGTCTGAAGGGCATCTTCTTGATGAGTGATGTGGGAGGGCCCAGCCCACTGTGGGTGGTGCCACCCCTGGGCAGGTAGGTGGGCCTGTGTTGCATAAGAAAGCAGGCTGAGCAGGGGCCAGGGGAGCAAGCCAGTAAGCAGCATTCCTCCATGGCCTGTGCTCCAGCTCCTGCCTCCAGGTTTCTGCCCTGAGTTCCTACCCAGGGCTCCTGGATGAACTGTGACCCTGGATATGTAAGATAAATAAACCCTTTCTTCCTCAAGTTGATATTGGTCAGAGTATTTTGTCACACCAATGGAGAGAACAAACTAGGACACCCTGTAACTCTGGGATGGGGAGAGAAAAGCAGCAAACAGATAAAGAACAAAAAAACACTGTACCCTTGATAACAGCTAGAAGGTAAAGTATTTCCAACCAAGTTTACTATTGTTTATCCCATAGTATAAAAATGTCTACAATGGGAAAGAAAAGCCAAAAGCTCATCCATGGAGAGACTCCTTTGCTTGGAACTCTCATTCAGGAATGCCAGCATGACACTTTCAGCAGAATTTCCCTGGTCATTTATGCTAGATGCTTGTAAGCCCCCAATTTGATGTTATCTATCTGTTGCTATTTGTTTTTTATTTGGAAGCCATGTCTGAGGGGTCAGTCTACTCCACCCAGGACTCTCTCCATGGGGGAACTCCAGCTAGCTGTCTCCCTAGTTGATTTCTGCTCTGTTTGTAAGCCTCTGATTTGGTGATGTTATTTGCTGTTTGCTTTCTCAGTTGGACCATTCCAGCCTTCTCTGCTGGATGTGTGAGTGCCTGAGTCGATACTGTTTTGCTATCTTTCTACCTGCTGCTTGGTATTTACTCTTTTGCTTTTACTTGCTATATACTTAAACTCATTTGAGACCAAATGCATGGCTATTTTAGGTCATTCTTTGGGTTGTATAGAACATGTGTGTTTGTATGTGTATATGTGTTTGTGTGTATGAATGTGAATATATAAGTATCTGGTCTCTCCCTCTTCTTGTAAAGCCAGCAGGATTCAATCATGGGTAGCTCACCCTGGCTACCATCAGGCTCCACTCCAAAACACCATAGTCTGTTTCCACTTGCTTAATCCCTGTAAGTGGGAATGATAACTTTAACTCAGGAAATACATTTAGACTGCATCCAAACCATAGCACAGACACTGTGGAAAGGGCATTGTCCTGGCAGATGGGATACCTGGGTGGTTCCAGTTCTAGCTCAGTATGTGGTCCTTGCTAAATTTTAGATTCCTACTTTTCAAAATGAAGGTCTTCAGCTTCCAAGAGTCTCTTCTAATTGTACTTAGTTCTTTAGAAGACAATTTTAACTGTGAATTAAAATAAATCTATCTATCTATCTATCTATCTATCTATCTATCTATCTATCATCTATCATCTATCTATCTATCTATCATTTATCTATTATCTATCTATCTATTATCTATCTATCAATCATCTATCATCTATCTATCTACCATCTATCTTCTATCATCTATCTATCTATATCTATCTTCTATCATCTATCTATTTATCATCTATCTATCTATCATCTATCTATCAATCTATCTATAATCTACTATCATCTATCTTCTATCATCTATATTTATCATCTATCTATCTATCATCTAATCTATCAATCATCTATCATCTATCTATCTATCATCTATCTTGTCATCTATCTATCATCTATCTATCTATCATCTATCTTCTATCATCTATTGATTTATCTATCATCTATCGTCTATCTATCTATCTATCTATCTACCTACCTACCTACCTACCTACCTACCTACCCACCCATCCATCTATCAATCATCTATCTATCTATCATCTATCTATCTATCATCTATCTATCTATCTATCTATCTATCTATCTATCTATCTATCTATCTATCTAATCTCCTTCTCTCCCTATTTTAAAGCTGCCTTTAAACTTTCCATCCTTCTGCCTCCTCCTTCTGAGTGTTGGGATTACAGGTATGGGTCACTAGACTAGGCTAAATCTCTTTTCTTTATGGCTCATCTACTTTGTGGTAAAGAGTTATTACAATAAAATATGGGCAGAGACACCCCATCTTGACTTCTTTTCTCCCTCCACTTGCAGCCTCATTAACTTTGTGTGCCACACCTGCTTCAAGAGGCAGGAGAAGCTCCATCGCTGTGGGCAGTGCAAATTTGCTCATTACTGCGACCGCACATGCCAGAAGGACGCTTGGCTGAACCACAAGAATGAGTGTTCGGCCATCAAGAGATACGGGAAGGTGCCCAATGAGAACATCAGGTCAGAGCTGGGTTCAGGGCTAGGCTTCGGATCCCCAAATGTCAGATTAAGACAGCATTCCCAAGCTGAGTGCAAATGATTCGGGTTCCATTCACTCCTTCAGGTCTGAGAGGGACACCTAGCTGTCTACACTGGCAATTCCAAAGTGCAGCTCCTAGAGGGAGTGGGCCCACAAGGTTATGGAAAACTCCTCAGAATTTAATTATTTTATTTAAAATATTTTATTTATTATTTTTATATGTATGTGTGTGTTGCCTGCATGTAGGTAAGTGCACCTATGTTGTGCAATGTCCGTTGAAGACAGAAGAGGTTGTCAGATCCCTTGGAACTGGAGTTACGGACAGTTGTTAGCTGCCGTGTGGGTGCTGAGATTTGAACCTGGCTCTTCTGCAAGAATAGCCAGTGTTCTTAACCACTGAGCCATCTCTCCAGCCTCAGAATTTAATTTTTATTTATTTAAAAAAAAATTTTAAATTTTATGTGTATGAGTGTTTTGCCCGCATGTATGTTTGCAAGTGCACCCATGTCATGCAATGCTCACAGAGGCCAGAAGAGGAGTGTCAGATCCCCTGGAACTGGGGTTATTGACAGTTATTAGCCACCAAGTAGGTACTGAGAACTGAATCTAGGCCCTTTGAAAGAGCAGCTAGTGCTCTTAACTACTGAGCTATCTCTAACATTTAATTAAAAAATTTTATTGAGTTTTTGGACAGAGGCTACTGCAGAATCTTATAACTTGTCAGACACAGAGAATATATGTCTGAGAGATGCCCAGTCCTAGGTGACACATCTACAGTGGAACCTCTACACCTAAGACTCATGGAACATAGTGGGAGAAAAGTAGTGCATCCCTCAGCTCTCACCAGTGAAGCTTCCTTGTACAACAGAATGCGATGCACACAAAAGGCCACAATTGGTCAACTATTAAAGAATGAGAGACTGCAGAGTGTGTGTCCCTGGATAGGGATTTAATTTTTAAAAATTGGTTTGCTAAGCTTTGAACATTGAAAATTTTTCACATTGTAAAAAATTGGGGTTTCTGGCTTTTCTGGAAAACATCAAAAGTGATGATCTGACAAAATGGGCTGGAGCTTAACAACGTATGTCTCTTTTAAGAGTTATAATTTTCTAGAACTACCATATGACCCAAGTCTCTCACTCCTGGGCATATACCCAGAGAACTGAAAAGCTTACTATAGAGATATTTGTATTCCCATGTTTATTGCTGTTCTATTCACTATTGCAAGGAAATGGAGCCAACTTAGTTGTCCATCAACAGATGAATGGATAATGAAAGTCTAGTACATATGTAAAATGGAATATTACTACTCTCTAAATAAAAATGAAATAAAAAATTCACATAAAAATGGATGGATCTAGAATGTACACTATAAAATGAGGTCACCCAAGTCTCAGAAAGTAAACCACATGTTTTCTCTCATATGTGGAGCCTAGTCTATAATGTATGCATATGCATATGTGAATAAATGCCCATGTGGTTATACTATAATATTTAGAATCAAGAACAAGAATGAGTAATTTGAAAAGAAAAGGAGTGTAGTTTTTGCCTTTCTGTCCATGGGGGATATGTATATTCAATTGTTTGGGTATTGAAATAGCAGGAATCATTTCTGCAATCCATGAGTCCAATAAGTATTGTCGCTTTGGGACCGTGGTCATGAGAGCTGGGTTTCCTTTTTGATTCCATTGACCAATAGCATAGTGAAAACTGCGCATGACTGGACACTGATTTGTTGAGCATGCTGAATGAGATAATGCCATTATTGTCCTTGGTAACTACATTTTTATTTTGCTATTAATTTTCTAATTTTCTGATAAAACTTAAAAAAAAAAAGGCATGCAGTTTTCTAAGTCACTGAGCTCACTATAGCCATGGTCCTTCATGCAGCTCAGGGCTCCTGATATGGAAACACAATGACATTCACTGGCAGCCATTGCCAGGAATCTCAGGTCCCAGGCATGGAGCCTGAGTTGGAGAGCTCTTGAGTCCTAATGGCTCTTTTGGCAGGCGCTGGCACTGTGATGCATATAGGAAGCCAGCCCTATCTAAGAGTAAAGAAGGAGGGGAAAGAGACTGGGAGCTTTTGCAGAGGCACCTAGGATGTGACAGTTCAGAATTCTTATCTCCTGAGAAGTTGTAGGAAACAGTTACCCTCCCCAGCATCCTTTGTTTCACCTACTGAAATTGTATGTATTCTTCAAGACCCAGAGTAAATTCACCTCCTCACTTCCCCCAGGTGCATGCTCATGTCTTTTGTGATTGACTTGAAATCTGTCACCATTGACCTCTATTATCTGAGCTTTAGGACAATATCTCCAGGATCTAGAGGCTACAGATTGGCACCAGACCCTATCCTGAGCCTTATTTTCCTTAGTTCTGTCCTGGACTCCATATGGGGACCCCTCAATTCCCAGATACCTGAGAATTCAATAGGGAACTTCTCTAGGAATAACTGAACTGAATGAGATAAGATGTGCTCTGGCAAAAGGGACGGGCATCTCTCTCATCTAGAGGAGCAGGTCTTCTGGATCACCAATCCTTTCCAGGTACCCAGAGGAGCCCGTTAACAAGGAAGCCCTTGCAGGGTGGGGGTAGGGGTGTGGAACATGTTCTGTAGCTCACTCAGAGCTCATCAGGGTCTCCTGTCCCACTGTGCTTAGTTTTCCTCAAGATTTAGACCTGAGACCCAGGCTGCTGCATCTCTCTGTGTCCCTATGTGATGTGGCACCTGCCTTTCTCTCCACTTCTTGTCCCCATGCTGCAGTCACCTGGGTTGAACTCCTCCTCCTCCCTCAGCCTCACAGAGCCAGTTCCTCTGTCCATTCCAGTTTCAGCTCAAATGTGACTTCTCAATGACACCTCTCTGGTGGCAGTAGCCACTCTCTCATGCCACTCTTTTATTTTCTGCATAGTATGTAATACTACTTAAAATGACCCTATTTACCTATATCTCCTCTAGTTCAGGAAGCATCATGATACAAAGCCTGACAAGGTGCCAGGTATGCATTAGGCCTTGTGCTTAGTGAATGAATGAATGAATGAGTATCCCTAGGTCTTCCTAATGTTGTCCCTTTCCTCTCCCCAGGCTTGCAGCCCGCATCATGTGGCGAGTAGAGAGAGAGGGCACTGGGCTCACGGAAGGCTGCCTGGTGTCAGTGGATGACTTACAAAACCACGTGGAGCATTTTGGGGAGGAGGAGCAGAGGGAGCTGCGAGTGGACGTGGACTCGTTCTTGCAGTACTGGCCCCCGCAGAGCCAGCAGTTCAGCATGCAGTACATCTCCCACATCTTTGGCGTGGTATGGCCTGTGTCCCCTCCAGCACTCCTGCTCTGTCCCGTGTCTTTTTCCTTCTTCCTTCCCTTCTTCCCCTTTGAGAGCCTGGAACTTCTACGAAGGAAGGAAACCCAGCTGCCTTGGATAATGGCTTCTGTTTATTTGATAATGTCCTCTATCCCTGGAAGCCAGAGACTTGAAGTCTACCTGCTGCTTCCCAGGTGTGGCAGGAATACCTACTGCTTCTTCTGGTTCTGAACCCAGAGACAGGCTCCTAAAGATTCCATTAAAATACATCTAGAATCCTAGAGTATGATTTCTCATAATAGAGGGGCCATGGTGATAGCTGGCATTGTCCAATGAAGAAATTTCCAGAAGTAATCAGAAGGGGAGGCCAAAAGGTCTAGGAGGCACTAAAGCTTAAAATGAAGACCACTTGGGGCTGGAGAGATGACTCAGTGGTCAAGAGCACTGACTGCTCTTGCAGAGGACCCAGGTTTGATTCCCACCACCCACATGGTGGCTAACAAATGTCTGTAACCCCAGTTCCAGGGAATCTGATGCCTTCTTCTGACCACATCAGGCATTACATGACATGGGTACACTTACATATGTGCAGGCAATATACTCATACACACAAAATAAAAATAATAAATAAAAAGTGAAGACTATTTATATCCCACGATGATTTTTTTCTTTTCTCCCTTTCCTATTCATTTGTTCATTTGTTTTTTATGAGGTGTCTTGCTATCAGCCCAGGCTGGCCTTGAACTCCTAGTCCTCCTGTATTGCCCTCCAAAATGCTGGGATTACAGGTGTATCCACCACTCCTGACTTAGAGCCTTTACTCTTGCTATGTCCTATAGCCTTGGGGTAAACTGGTATGATAGACCAACCCTGGGCTTCTATAATTACCTACATAATTACTAAAGCTTAGCACTAAAGAGAGTCTTAGCTTTCATCGTGCCCAACTTATTCAACCTATAGATGGGAAAACCAGGGCTCAGAGAAGAAATTTGCTCAAGAAGATGCAGTTTATTCCTAGAACTCCCAGACTTACCATCACATACTTCCTAAATATCTGAGAGAATTAAGTGGAGAAAGTGACACTCTTCTATTTTTGCAATAAATTGCCATGTGAATGCGCAAATATGTATTGTATTTATATTGCAGACAACATGTATTCCTGTATGTATTTTTTTATGAACTGGAAATTTGTGCTCAGTTAGTAGTGTATTCTAGGCTGTATTTATTATTATGTACTTTCCACGTTCTAGAAACAAGTATTTGAATTGAAAATATTATTGTGTGTATGTGTGCCCCGTGTGTGTGTGTGTGAGTGTGTGTGCGTGTGTGTGTGTGTGTGTGTAGTTGGTTCTGTCCTTCCACCTTAACATGGGTTCCGAGGATCAAACTCTGGTCTCCAGGCTTGTGGGGCAAGCCCTTTTACCCACTGAGTCATCTTGCTGGTTCAGTATTTAGAATTTGTTTCTACAGAGAACAACATTATTTTTAGAAGTGCTGGGGACAAACAGGGTCTTGTGCCTGCTAGGCAAGTATTCTACTTAAGAAAGGAGAGTGCAGACAGCAGACAAGCACGTACACACACACACACACACACACACACACACACACACACACAGGCAAGGCAGAGCCTGGAGAGACAAACTAAGACATATAATGAGCAGGACTCCTGTGAGACCCTGGAAAGTAGATCCAACATTTCCATCTTTGGTCTCAAGACTAGAGCTCCTGAAGGCTTCAAGATGGTGGTGCTTTTATAAACACAGGACTCCCTGTGGCACTCGTCTTGCCTGTATTTGGAGTCACGCAGAAAATAGGAAACTGTTTCTAGACTCTAAGCATCTTCAGGGTGAGAATGGGCTCTCTTCTGCTCTCTAAATGATTAAATTTGTTAGCTGACAATCTCTCTCTCTCTCTCTCTCTCTCTCTCTCTCTCTCTCTGAATATTCTGATTACTCTCTTTCCTCCCTCTTATTTCCCTCCCTTTTCTGTTAATACCCCTCCCCCAATCCCTACCAGTCCTTTGCCCAGATTCATGATTTTTGGCTTTGTTCTATGACCCATTTGGTTTAATCAGTGGGCCCTTTATATTTCAGACTCCTTTCAGCAGTTAGGATGATATTCTGTCCTGGGTCTGTATCTGTTTTTTTTTTTTTTAAATTGTTTATGTGTATGAATATGTATGTGTACCTGCATGTGTGTAAGTGCAACTGTGTCATGCAGTGCTCACAGAGGTAAAAAGAAGGCATCAAATTCCCCTGGAACTGGAATTATGAATGGTTGTTAGTCGCCATGTGGGTGCTGGGAATTGAACCCGGGTGTTCTGCAAGAGCAGCCAGTACTATTAACCTCTGAGCCATCTCATCTCTCCAGCCACCCCCATCCCCCCCGCATCTGTATCTGTTCACTGACTCTTTTCTCCTGTTCTCTGGGCAGATCAATTGCAACGGCTTCACTCTTAGTGACCAGAGAGGCCTGCAGGCAGTAGGTGTGGGCATCTTCCCCAACCTGGGCCTGGTGAACCATGACTGCTGGCCCAACTGCACCGTCATATTCAACAATGGCAAGTGAGTATGCCTTTAACTGGATGTGTACAGAGGGGGTGGGTAACTTTCCACTTCAACTAAAGTCCTGAACTACTAATGTTCAGCAATCCGGAATCTCCTGCTAGACTATCTGTGATGAGAGAAGAAAGTATTGAGGTGGATAGCAAAGAATTCTACCTGGTCATTTCTCAATCTTTGTGTGTTTTTTGGGGCTACTAAATGTGTTAGATAAACTTTTTTTTGGTCTTTTTGAGACAGGGTCTCCCTGCAGCCCCAGATGGCCTGGAACTCGCTATGTAGGCAGCCTGGAACTCACTGCCTGCTTCTGCCTCCCAAGTGCTGGGATTAAAGGTGTGCGCCACTGTGCCCGGCATGTTAGATAAACATTTAACCACTGTTCTAAACTTGAACTCTGGGATTATTTACTAGAAGTCATGGCAGCACATCAATGAAGTGATTGACAGAAGCCTATGTTATCGAAGGTTCCATCTGAAATTAGAAAGCCCATTCAAAAGGTTAATTCAGAATTTAATGAAAAGACAATTTATAGGAGTGTGGTCAGGATTTAGGAATAATCAGACAAAGAATTGTGAGGGGTCTCAGGTCTCAAGCACCTGAAACCATTACTAGGCTTGGCAGGATAAGCAGAGACAGCTCTGTGAGTGCCTTCAGCCAGTGAGTGCCTGAGCCACGAGAGGGTCCCTTCAGCTCAGTTCTATCATAGCTGTGTCTGCACAGAAGCCACTACTGTTGGAACCAGGAGCTGACAACTCCAACCTTATGCTTCTCCTCCCCTTGGTCAAACCTTATCCAGAGGCCAGAGAGCAAAGGAACCTGACTGGTTTATCCCTCTGCCCCCAGGAAAGCACCGAGCAGAGACAAGGGCAAACACTGGATCTTTGGGGTGGGGCACAGATGGAGAGGGATCAGAAAACAAGCTGGAACCTGGTCGTGCAGGGATCAGGCTGGGGAGATCTGAGGAAGGAAGCCTGAGCAATGTTCACTGTTTTTTCTCATAAACATGATCTTCCATGACTGATGCAAGCTGACACTGAGCCATGATCTTGAGTAGCTTTCCCCCAGATCCTTGAAGCCCAAGAATGATTTTTGGGTCTCAGCTGAGAATCTTGACAAACCACCAACATTACTAGGACTCTGATTTCTTTCCTTTCTATTTCTGACCACAGGCTCAAAAGCAATTGAGAAAGATGACCAAGATGGGAAAGCTTAGTTTGGACTCAGATAATGTTTTCCCAGCATGTTTTGTTTCTCTGCCTAAGCCTCTAGGGACAATGGTCCTGGGCCTCATGGAATTCTTCCAAGAAGACATGTTGCTTAGGTTCAGCATGGTTAGCAGAGTAGGTCAAATTTAGCCACATACAAGGGTCCAACATTCTAGATTGCCTCCTATAAGTGGTGGGGACCCAGGGCCTATCTTGTCACTGTGTAATGATCAAGGAACTTGAGCCTCTTTCTTCAGGTCATCTCTGGTGTCTGCTCTTGCTTCTTTGCATCTACTAATTCTGAGCAGTCATGTGTTCCCCTGGGCTTGCTGGCTTTTGTGCAAGAAAGAAGGTTGTTACAGTCACTGCCTGGCTGCCTGCTACAATAGAAAGAACACTGGACATGGTGTCAGGGGCCCAATTTTAACACAAACAACATTTACATGCTACCTGTGAGATCTACATATGCAATTCAAACTCTCCACAAGTCATCCAAAGAGACATGTTTATTTATCTAGCATGCTTGTCAATGGGACAATAACAAAGTCCCTTACATTTATTAGCACTGTATTCTTAAAGGCATTGTTTCAGAAGTCTCACTGTTGAGTTACAAGTAAGACACTGAGGACCCAGAAAAGAAATTCAGTTGTTCAGTAGCGGGTCCTTCAGTATCCAGCATTTTGCATCCCCAATCCAATGCACTTTCCACTGTACCAGGCAGCAGCCTGTCATGGGAGCCCAGCTAGAAGGGATGAAGTTGGTTGTGATGGCCAAAGCTTTGATTGTGCGAGCCCAGAATGCTGTGCACTCTTGCTGGCTACAGTTGATAAGCTAATGATACTGATTTCTTTGTGGGTGTCTGTTTTGTCTTTCAGTCATGAGGCAGTGAAATCCATGTTTCACACGCAGATGAGGTGGGTCAGTCTTCTCACGAATCCTCAGCTCCCCTGACCCATCTCCCTCACTTGTCTCGCTTGCTGCTGGGACCAGCCCTTCCTAAGACTCATTGGCTCCTGTCATTTTTCATGTCCAGCTCTGAAGTGTCTTTGCTTTTTGAATGGCATATTCTTCATGCACGTGAATTTACCTTTTCTTCACCCACCTATTTGCTTTATTTTGCTTGCTTGCTTTCCTCTCTTACACCTCACTTCTCTACTCCTTCTGCCTCAAAGTGCTAACTGTTCTAGTTCACCATCTTTGCCAAAACCTGTATCATCCCCTTAAACTCTGCTGACCGTGAAATAAGGATGGCTACTACTAATCTACTAAAGGACTGTGTGTTTGTCTATCAACCGAGGCTTGATTCCGAATAGCTGTGCTATTTTGATAAGTGTGTATTCATAGTGTCTTTTTTTACTGTTTCTGGCCCAAACTGAATTTTGTGGCTTAAATCTTGCCTTTGACTTTCCTTAATGATGACCACATGGTCCCAGTTGGATCTTTTGCTTAATCTGGGTTTAGAAACCCTCAAAGTGAATTAAGAACACAATATTGCATGTGAGTTTGGGCTTTGGAATGAGGGGAGACAATGGTTGGTTGGTACATCTATGTTAGTGTGTACTGCTTGTGACTTTGGACAATGCTAATCATGTCCTGGGCTTGTGTTCCAAACCTGTGCAATGAAGGTCAAAAGCCAGGCATGGGCAATGAACGCAGGAGGATCAGGAATTCCAAGTCATCCTTGGTGGCATCCCATGGGACTGTATTACAAAACCAAACAAAACAAAACAAAAACAATGAAACAAACCACAGCAACAACAAAAGAGCAACTCTCGGGACCTTCCAGGTTCTAAGTTCTGTGGCTCTGGCTCTGCTCCCAACCTCTGTAAGAAATGCTTAGATTAAATTGCCTGTTCGTAGTTCAACAAGTTGAACTAGAGAATTGCCAAGTGTTAGAGATGGAAGGGGTCTGGAGCTCAGAGTGGGAAGGAGACTTGTCCTAGGAAGCCGGGTGGAGGAAGGAGCAGTGCTGAGCCTCATGTCTTGGCTCCTGCAGTGCTTATTTTGATCACTGTTCATCCTTCAATCTCTAGTTCTGAAATGGGGGGCGTCTAACTAATGGTGGTTTGACTCAATGAATTTATTTTATGGTGACACAAACCTGTATAGATGTAACTATTCTGTTTCTCACCTTTAATATAGTATTAAATAAATTATGTGACATATTTGACTCTTCATTATAAAATGGGCTTTGTGTTAGGTGATTTTGCCTAACTGTGGGCTAATGACAGTGTTCTGAGCACATCTAAGGCAGGTAAAGCTAAGACATGATGCTCAGTAGGTTAGGTGTGTTAGGTGCATTTTCACAGTATTTTCAATTTATCATGGATTTATCGGGACTGTTGTCTTTGTTTCTTCATTGCTGTGACAAAATACTCTGACCACTACCAACTTGGGGAGGAAAGGGTCTTTTTAGCTTACATATCCCAGGTCACAGTTCATCTGGGAGCCCAAGGTAGGAACTCAGGGCAGGAACCTGGAGGCAGGAGCTGGAGTACAGGCCGTGGAGGAATGCTGCTTACTGGCTTGCTCTCCTGGTCCCTGCTCAGCCTGCTTTCTTATACAACACAGGCCCACCTGCCCAGGGGTGGCACCACCCACAGTGGGCTGGGCCCTCCCACATCACTCATCAAGAAGATGCCCCTCAGATATGGCCACAGGCCAGTCCAATAGAGGAAATTCTCCAATTGAGGGTCCCTCAACCCAGGTGTGTCAAGTTGAAACTAAAGACATCCAGCACAACGGTAAAGTGCAATTTACTTCTGAGAGGCCCATATTGTGTGCACTCTAGGCTCCCAGACCCTCTGTGGAGCGTGCTGCGACCTTCTCTCCCCACACGGTCTTATGACCGTCCAACAAAATGGACACAATGTCCCTCTAAGCTACAGTTTAGGGACTAAAGATATTTATTTAGGTTTTCCAACAAAGCTTATAATGTCCCGGAGAGGGTTACTTACAAAAGCGTGGACCCCTGTGGGTTTTTGTTTTTTGTTTTTTTTTTGTCTATCTTGGCTGAGCTTTCCAGATCTGCTGCTGCTGGCCCACCTGCCCAAGATGGTAAAGTTCCTGCCTCCTCCCCGGCTTCTTCCCTATCTATCCTTAGACCCACCCCCTCATGCAATTGAAGCTGATTGGGTGGGAGGGGTGACTGTCTCTCTCTCCCTTTCTACGGAGTCTCTTAAGGTTCAGACATCCAGCTGTTGCTAGTTCTTTTGAAGGACATGCCTATCCAATGGGACATATCTTGCTGTATGTTCAAGGGCATCTGTAATGTAGAATAGGGTGGAAATATATGTCCCTCCCCTCCCTTCCCCTCTTCTCTCCTTCTCTACTGTCCTTGGGGATTGGACTTAGAGTCTCACCTACTAAACAAGCAGTCTGCTATGATATATATTCCCAGTGATTTTTCTATTTTTTAGTTTAAGACTCTTACTAATTTGCCCAGACTGGCCTTGTAGTCCCTCTGTAGTCTAGGTAAGCTTTGTACTTGCCATCCTTAATAATATTAATTTCATAACACTTATATATGAAATGAGAAAACCTTGTATTTCTCATATTTGTGTTATGAAATTATTTAAAACTCTTTTTTCTTCCTTTCTCCCATTTTCCTCCCCCCATTTATTTCTTTATTTTTCTTTTGTGTTTGTTTTGCATATGTTTTGTATATAAGTGCACCCATGTATGCCATGCCCGTGAGGGCCAGAAGAGGATGTTGGATCCCCTGTAACTGGAGTAATGGACACTTGTTAGCTGCTGTGTGGGTCCTGGGAACTGAACCTGGGTTCTCTGCAAGATCAGCCAGCGCTTTAACCATTTAGCCTTCTTTCCAGTCCTCTTTTTCTTGATGTAAGGTCTCATTATATAACCCAGGCTGACCTTAAGCTTGCTGTGTAACCCAGGCTGGCCTCATTTTCACAATCTTCCTGCTTCAGCCTCCACAGTTCTGAGATCAGAGCATGTACCAACATATCAATGTTGGTTTTGAAAACTTTTTCACACCACTTAAATAATCTGAGCTAGCTGGAGGTCTTGCAAAAATTGGCTCAACCATTATGGAAAGAAAGTTCCTGGAAATCCCAACATACAGGGCTAGGGAGATGGCTCAGCAAGAAAGCAAGAGTTCAGTTCCTAGCACTCACGTTAGGTGAGCTCACAACCACGTGTAACTCAAACTCCAGGGGATCTGATGCCCTCTTGTGGCCTCTGAGAGAGGCACTCACACATACATGACATATACACACATGGCATGCACACACAAAAATAAAATTTAAAGAATGAGAGAAAAAGCCCAACTTGCTAGTGATTCATGTTGAATTATGATATGTTACAATTGTGGCCTGTCTCTGTAAAAGGGACTTATAGGGCTGACTTATGTACTTATTGTATCAGGGCCAAATACTAGCTAGCCACTGCCTCTATTGGCTCAGAAATGGCTCACATAGAACTTTTTTAGGACATAGTGTTGCCCTTAAAAAATGAGGACTTTCCTCATGCATCTGTTTTAATATTCCCAGGAGTAGCAGAAAGCCATCAGATACAGTCAGTCTAAAGTGCTAAAGCAGGAAGGGTACCCGAGTTCTCATTTTGGCTCTGTCACACTAGTGCCATGGGGCCTTAAGTAAATTACGTATTTCTCTCAGGTCAGCATCCTTGTTTGTGAAATGAGCATCCTCTACAGCTTGGCCATCATAGGATTCTCAGCAGAGCTGTGAGCAGGATCACCTGGCCGTCCTCTCTCTGTCTTGCATCATTTCAGTTACAGCTGCTTCTGGAAACAGAGAAGAAAGTGTCATGGAATCCTGGAGCTCATGATGCCTGTCACCACAAAGGCCAATGAGCAGAGACAAGAATTGAATATTTAGATTGTGCTTTATTCAGAGAGTCAATGATCTGAGAAGGCAGCAGATTAACACCTTTTAGAAAATGAAACAACTGCCTTACATGTTTATCTCCAGCCAGTAGATTGTGTTATTGATGGAGACAAAAGCAGTCGATCATTCTGGTGGGGGTCAGCTACAGTTCTGAGACTTGTAATGTCTGTGCCTCTTGTGCTTTCATCCCTTGTATGCTTCCTTCATTCAGAGGGTGTTTTGGCTAAAGCACTTCTTGAAATGCTGAGTCTATTTAGTGTGCCAGTATCAATCAACCTTGTATTTCTCCAGGGGCATTTGGACTCTGCGTGTGTGTATATGTGTGTGTGTGTAACAGTGGTTAACTCAGAACAAATAAATGATGAGCAGTATGTACGTGAGCGCGTATGTATAGATTCCTTTCTACAATATGGAGTATAAATGTGTCCTTAGAATATAAGGAGTGCCCCATCCTTCCCACCCCTTCCCTATCTAAAGGAAAGAAGGAAAAAGATGAGGGGCAGATATTTCAACTTCCCCAGGCTCTATGGTGTTTCTTTGTTTCTCTCTCTCTCTCTCTCTCTCTCTCTCTCTCTCTCCCCCTCTCCCCCCCCACACATGCTAAGTGAGCATTCTGTTGTTGAGCTACATCCCCAGTCCCTCATATCACCACATGTATTGGGTATGTTAATGTAGTCCACTTTTGAGACAGGTCACCTCAGATGCCTTGGCATGTATGAGCCTGTCATTTAGCACTTGTTTCCTTGGTTGTCATCTCAGAAGACATGGAAGGGGCTGCCTTAGGACTTTTCTGGGGTGCTGGGGCCTTCTCTTGTCTTTCACATGGTGTTTACACATGTAACAGCTTTCTGGAAGGTAATGACCAGAAATTTCTGCCTAGCTCTCTGCCTCCTGCCACTTGCTCCCTGGGGTGCATTTTCCCCCTGGGCAGTGAGATCTTAGGCACCTGGTGGGATACAGAGTATAGCTGAAGACTGAGCTTGCAACCTTCGCGTCTTCTTTTGCAGCACTTTGGTTTTGTGATAAGGAGTGCATGGCTGAGAGGCCCAGGACTGGCTTACCTGGATGGATGTCATCTGTGCAGGGAGCTTTTAACTTCAGTGCCTTCTGTATTATTACATAGTAAGGTGGATGGTGTCCTGAGTAACTGGAGGACCAGGTCTAGCCTGGAAGGAAATAAAAATGTCCTCCACTATTGCTAATTACTTTCAACCAAGAAGCTCTGTCTCCCAATAAACATGAAAGTGAACATGTAGCAGCCCCAGCCTCTGTTCATTTAATTGCCTTTGGGGATCTCCAGTGAGCATAAGTCCCCCTGTGTAATGTAGGCCTGAATCACCGAACCAAAGCAAAAGGTACAAGGGGGCTTAAGTTCAACACAGACTGGGCCAAGATCACGGATGGCTCAATATATATGTTACAGAGGGAGTAGTCTCCACGTTAACCAGAAATAATTTTTAGAACTTTTCTTGCTTGAGGTTCTCTCATTTTTTTCCTTTCATCCTTTGTTACAAATAATCAGTAACTAAGTGCATGTGGGAACCTGGGTAGGGCTTTATGACCAAGGCCAGTCCTTTCCAGGGATTGTATTAGAGCCAATTCCAGAAAAATTCTCTGAATGGAGCAGATCTGTTACAAAGAGTAGAATTATCCAGCTAACTGTGCTTTAGATCACATTTCTCCTTTCTGTAGGGAATGGGGATTTTCTCAGTGCACTAGGAGAAGGTGCTGTCTTTGAAGCTGGACTCTTTGAAGTCTTGGAGAACACAAATCTGACCCTGGTCAATATGAGGTCCGCTGACTCACTCCCTTCCATCCTGCTCCAGAATTGAGCTCCGGGCCCTGGGCAAGATCTCAGAAGGAGAGGAGCTGACGGTGTCCTACATTGACTTCCTCAACGTCAGCGAGGAGCGCCGGGAACAGCTGAGGAAGCAGTACTACTTTGACTGCACGTGTGAGCACTGTCAGAAGGGGCTGAAGGATGACCTCTTTCTGGGGGTGAAAGAGGACCCCAAGGTACACGGGCCTGTCACTGGGGTCTGAGACTATCAGTAACCAGACAAGGGTGTATTTTATAATCATGGGGTGCTGGCATGGGGTGGTAGTACGGAGAACGATGGCCACAGGACATGGCTGTTATGAAGACTGGACAAGATTATGTATATGAAGGGGTGGTACCCAGGCGCTCTGCAGGGTTCGGTTGCCTGCTTTACCCCCGAACAAATTAAGTAATGTTGAGAATTTCAGATATTAAAGTCCAATGGACAAATATTTTAATCTGGTTATCCTAGTTCTGTAGAGATGGATAATATGGAAATGGAGTAGGCTTGCCAAGGGGATGACTGGGCTAGGAGAGAGCTGAGCTGCCACGTGGCAAAGTAGCCAGTAAAAGCCACAGGCTAGAAATGAGAATGCAGTCTTCAGTCACTTATATAATAGTATAAACAAGAAGCAGAAACCAGTGACAGCACCAATCCTGCTCATCCATTTCCTCCCACGGAGCATGCAGAGGCAGAGGGTGGGTCACCACAGGCACGGGGAGCTGGTCTCCTCGCTATTGAGAGAAACTCATCAAAAGGCAGTTTTCTGGATCTATGATTAGAGGAAAGTCAAGTAGGAAGAACTAGGGGTATGAAGTAATTGGCTACCAAATGAGAGTAGGGAAAGGCTCTTCAAGGCAGCCTCTCTTCTCCAGTAAGGAAGCCTCAGTAGAGACATCTGAGGACCATGTGGTGTTAAGTGGGTCCTTCTGTGTATGGCACTTCTCTACTGTCTTTAAAATACACATACATGAATTTCCGAACTCCTGCATCCTGTGTGTGGCCAGAAATGTGCTTGTGGTCAGAACACAGACTCTGACCAGCTGCTTTGATGCTGGTCACATGACCCCTCACATGCAGCTCCAGGCCTTGATGCTGGTCATGTGATCCCCTCTTATGGCTCCATGCCTTGATGATGGTCATGTGACTCCCGCTTGCCATTCCTTGATGCTGGTCACGTGGCCTGCTCTCCTGGCTCCCTTGCTTGGTGGTTATCAATGCTGATGGTCAGAAAACACATTCCCCTGTACAGTACGTCTCTCCTTTTCACCTCTGAGCTTTGCTAGACAGTTTTCTGGCCAACACTTATTTTTATTCTTACCATATTGTATTTTTACCCTTTCACCAAAAAGTCCTTCTAAGAATTTACCGTACTGAGGTACATTTATACTTGCACAAAGATACACAGTTAAAGATAGACAGTGTTGAGAACAATAAAATAGTGACCAAACCCTCATTCAATACTGATAGGGAAATACTGAAATTGAGGAAACACTGAAGTCATTCAGATAAATGAAGTGGGCGTTTATATGCAGATATGCAATCATGGCAAAGGAAGTACAGGGCCAAACAATGCCGTGTATGTATCTTAGTTTTCTAGAGCCACTATGAACCCCAAACTGAGTGTTTTAAACCCCAGAAATTTGTCTGTTCTGAAAGCTATGAGGTAGAGTCCACAGTCCAACCATCGTGTGAGGAAAGGATCTATTCTAGGTTTTCTATTGAACTTGTAAAAGGCTGTTTATTCCCAGTATCTCTTTATACCATTTTCCTTTCAGGCCTGTCTCTCTCTTTTTCATAAGGTCACCAGTCATACTGGATTAGGGACCCATCCTACTTCAGTCAACATGACCTCATCTTAAGTAATTATATCTGGAATGATGCTACTTCCAAATAAGGTCACATTCTGAGGTATTAGGGGTTAGACCTGCAACATATAAGTTTGATTAGGATGAAATTCAATTCATGACAAAGTTCATGCTACCATATCTGGAAGAGAGAGAGAGAGAGAGAGAGAGAGAGAGAGAGAGAGAGAGAGAGAGAGAGGGGAGAAAGAT